AGAGCGGTTAAAGGCTAACTCCCGCCTGACTTTAGTCTGAGTCTGATTTGAACCTCGGCTCAGGTCGTAATTTCGATCTTATTTAGAAAAGGACGGGCGATCGATTGAAAATTTATAGATAGATTTTAGCATATATGAAGAGAATTCAAAACAGTTATTATTAAAAAGTTTTGTGTTTGTCATTGTCTTTCTTATATTGAGGTAACCATCGCTTAAAATGTAGTATTTGTTTTATTCCAATCCTTATACAAACAAAAAAAGGTATACGGTTGGTACAGAATATATCAGACTAGTTAGCAACCCTATTTACAAGGAATATAAGTAAAGTACTAGACGGCAAAAGGTCAAAAGTAAATTAATCAAAACGCATAGGACTCACCCACATCAAAGTTCTAATTACTGAACACAAAAGTATGGAAGCAGGGGTGCCAACTGTACAAGAGTGCTCGTAGAAATATGACACTTTTGCTCATAATCTGTACGAGGACATTTTCTTACGAGCTTGAACCAGAAGTATCTACGTAATCAGAGTCTAATGTCCTAGTGGTATACTACCTTGAATTATGCCCAAGAGGTCGTTTGTTCCAAACTAATCGACACAAAAATAAAACTTTATGTGTCATATTATATTTCTGACTAACTCTCGGGTGAAGGATAGATATCAAAACCAAAAATTAGTAGAGAAGTAGCAGGAGTAGTCTCATCCTCCGCCACGTGAGGTTCAAAAACATACCGAGAAAATATGGACATATCAAATGCGTTCATCACAACATCGACAGTAGACAATGCCTCTGACTACCTACCTCATTTAGGATACGAGTCGTATGTTCTATGTTTTTTTATGTATGTTAAAAATCATATGATATAAATAATCATTACTAATAGTTAACTCAATAAATTTAATATCAATATTGATCTAAATTTCTATCTTCAAAATATAGCTGAATATTGAGTTATGTATTTATTCTTAAGAACAATGTAAAAAAAAAATTTTAGAGAGCCGAAATTGATTTACGATACGAGCTGTGGTTAAGCTATGATCCAATACGAAATTTTATAAAATTTATATATTTTTTATATATTGTTTGAATATAGCCAACCCTGTACGGAAGTGTCAGACTTTAAACTATGCTAGGTGTTATAGAGTAACTTTAGATTGCGAGGGCTTTAATTTATATAATACTTTTCAACTTCAACAAAGTTTCAAAAGGACGATGTTTTTAATCTAAGTAGATTTTGTTGGTACTTTTTCTTGTAAAGATTTTTACCGAGATTGACTGCTGTTCATGTATATAGGCGGCGGTCACCACTTACCAACAGAAGGCCGTCACTTTATTTGCATTAAAATTTAGTATGAATTGTATACATTTTAAACTAGCTGTTCCCGCGACTTCGTCCGCGTGGAATTTATTTTCATATTTTTTTTCTAAAATAAAAAAAATCAAAAATAAAAGTAGCCTAAGTTACTCCTTATTACATAAGCTACCTGTCAAAAAAAGTCCCGACAAAATTGGTCAAGCCATTTCAGAGATTAGGCGGAACAAACAGACCGACAGACAGACAGACAAGAATTATAAAAAATGATATTTTGGTATATGTACCGTATATATCATATACATGTAGTAAAAAACGGTTATTTCAATATTACAAACAGACACTCCAATTTTATTTATATGCATAGATGAATAGCACGTAACACATAACACGAACTCCGCCATGTTATCAAATACTTAATTAGAAAAGCGGATTCAAAATCAGCTTAAAACTTATATCATCATGCTTATTATATTATGTTATAGTAGTCAGCTTAAAACTTATATAAACATTTTAACATATAATATTATTTAAACATCACTATAAATTAAATTTTATTAACATCATTCAAATTTTGTATATTTACCTCTGAATAAAACACGAATATTATTCTTCAAATAGAAAATTTTATAATGTTCCAAATTTAAAACTTATAAATGGCGACTCCCGCCATATTTTGATATATTAAAAAGTTGTTCCAGCCTGTGTCGAATTAAAGTCTTGAATCGATTGAACGAAAAACTGTAATCGATTTACTCGGCTTATCCTTTACCGCGCTTTGAAAGAACTGTACAAACTAGTTTGGAATGAAATTAGATTCAAGCGTAGACTAGACTTTGTGAAAAAAGTATTAGATCTTATTTTTATTTTTACATACCTACTTCACCATACGTTGTATGTAACAACTGGATAAAGGGCAATAGGCAGTGCTCAATGCTAAGATTTTTAGAAGCAGTTTACGTTAAGGAGATAATTTTTTATTTATAGATTTTTGTTTTAAAACAGTTATTATTCATAACTAACACAAATTTTTCCACATTATATTTATTATTACCTAGCACTTATCATTTTAAACAATACTCATACTTTCTCATAAGTAAAATATTACTTAAATATATTTAACGTCAAATAATTTAACGACGGTAGGGTTGTCGGTACTAGATCCCGTGGACGATCACCCATGCGATGGACCGACCACTTCAACGCGTGGAGGTCCACTCCACGACTGTACCAGAATGGCAACCAGTAGGGGGAAATGACGGGCTGTCGTAAGTCAGATGAAATGTGCCTCTTACTCCATTACATAATGACTACGTTCTATCAAGAGCGTATCGAATGAAAAGAAGAATTATAAACCAATACAACTAACAAATGTAATTTACATTACATATTACAGAAGAGCACTGATACCTACAGCTTATGTAGGTGTAATACGTAGTTTAGGTTATCAGGCTCATCATTTTGTATTACGCAATTTTCTGCTATTTTATTATCTAGAACTAACTTCAACTGTAATGTATGCTCCTTTTTAAATGTTATTTTTCCCCTCCGATCAATCCCCCGTCCAATTCAAACGGGGATCGAAATTACGACGGCCTGAATGGAGATTCGTACGCCTAGCGATGTCCTCAGACTAAATTCGTATCCGTCAGGCGGGTTAGCCTTCAACTGCTCCATAAGTTCTTACGCGGGTTTGGAGTGCAATCTGCTCCCTATCGTCCGGTGAAGCTGTAAAGGTGCGGTCAACAGCATTAGAGTAATCCGGAAAAAAGAACAATAGAAAACAAAATACGTTGTTATTTTATAGTACACACAAATAAAGCATTATTATAATTATTTATCAATTACAAGTGATGGTAATTTCGTTATAACTTATAATTCTACTTCGAGATCTTATTCAACGAACTGTATTAGTGATGTTCCATCATTTTAAACTGCCAAATTCAACGATATTTATGTTAGTCGGTCCGTAAATTGACGTTGGCTACAGATTATATACAAAAGTATTTGCACCGAGCCCACAAAGTTCGCATGACTTATTTCATTTAGTCTATTGTAATGTAAATTGTTTGTCCTTGTATAAATTTAATGAGACATTGACCTTTGTCTATATTAATATAAACGCGAAAATGTATCTGTTTGTTTGTTATTTTTCAATACTAAATGGCTTTTAGGATATGTTTTAATGAAATTCGACTTGAAGATAAATTTTATGACGACGATGGATCCATACTATTTAATATCTCACAGAAACAGATGCAGTTGCGGGTAACAGTAATAATGAATAAAATATAAAAAAAGTTAAAAATTATATTATTATCAACATTTTTTTTTATTACGTAATTTGAGCGCGTTCGAACTCAATCTCACTTGATATTAAGTGATAATGTGATGTGGTAACATTTGGAATATTAGAAAAAATTATATCCTACTATCCTTGTACTCGTGCAAAGCCGGGGCGGATCATTAGTATTGTGTAAAGTGTATGTCATCAAGTATGACATAATAATACATAGTTAGGTAGAGTACTTATATTATAGCAACTTATATAGTAAGTATTCTGTATGGTTTATTACTTTTTAAACCTTTTTTTACTGTTACTACGCTTTTTTCTTACTTCAATTTTCGTTGATACTCTCTTTCCTGGATTTATTGGAGTTTGCCTAGATAATATTGTATTAGCAACAAGATCGCATTATGTATTTGATTCAATAATCAATTAATTTAGATATTAATAATGTTGGTGCAATATATTATTATAAAACATAAATATAATATTATTATAAAAACGAGCTGTCCTTTTTCTTATAATAAAAGAAAATAAACACCACAAAGTTACGACTCAATATGAAACCTACCGATTTCCGTCATTAGTAAATCTGTAGGGGAACATTGGCAGAACAGTACCAGAAACGTTGAATATTATCCATAAGACAATAAAAAAATAGTAAATATGTACTTAATAGTAAAAAAAACATTTTAAACAAAATAAATTTTCTGATACTCTTCTGTAGATAAAGAAAAAAAAAACATATTTTTAATCAAAAATATAGAAAGCGGAACGTCATCAGTCAAGTTTTAATAGTTAGTAGTAATACTATATTGAATGAGTATAAGACATTAGAAAAAGAAACAGAATTATTTTTCTAATATTAAAGACAAAGACAAAGCCATACTGCTTAACCTTACGTATGTCAACTCTAATAAAATTAAACGTAAATTGACGGTTACGTGACCGATGACGTTACACTTCACACATCGAAATTACACACATGATGGTAACATCAAAATTTCTCCATTTACCTACACAAAATACACCTGAAAAAATATATAAAAACACGTCAACTAAGCTAATTTAACATTTCTTTCAGCCAATTACAATAATTACGTCTAACAACATCAACCTACGTTAATTAGTCCAAGTTACTTTTGTACTTACTGTGAAAGTTTAATCCAAACGGATTAATTTACCATTGACAACTTTATTAAAAAATTATGACAATTCGAATTTTGAAATTCAAATGTAATTCTTTAATTTGGAATAACATTACAAAATAGTACAGTTAATCACTAATTTCTTTATCATTCCACATTTAAAAAAAGACTGAATCGATATGCCAGAAACTACCAATTCAATCCGATGCAATTCTATAACGGTTATACTGCATATTTTTTTAACTACTTACGGAAGGATGCGGTGGATGTTCTTGTCCCTTGACATTTTGCAGCTGTTTATTTTGCGCAGTTGGGGTCCGTTCTCCGGCAGCAGTAGACGCGCCTGCAGCAGCTCCAGCGCTGCTCCCAGCTGGGGATTTCGCTTGCGGGGAGCTTGTTGAAGTGGTCCTGTTGGAGATTGGAAATTTTCAATACTGGCTAGGTAGAGAGAATAAATATTCATGTCTTACCTCATTAACATTCATAACCTCATTTACTTAGACAACACGTGATCTATATGATGATCGCGGGTGAGGCATATAAATAAAAATAAAAAAAATATTCTACATTAAAAATAAAGTTAAAAATAATTAAATGAAATGAATGAATGTCTAAAATATAATATACATTTTAGACATATACATATATGTATTCATTCATTAAAACAAACTATATCAATCTAATTTCAAAATACTTACTCGAGTTGCGCTCTATATAGTCCACAGCACATGAAACAAAGAAAAAAAAATGTTAGTTCAACTATATTCACAATTTTATATGAGTCCGAAATTCCAACTAGTTTCGACAGCCCTATTTTAATTCAGAAAATAAATATAACGGGACCACTAAAATTAAATCGCTAACACTTCAAGTATCAATTTTCCCACCTCAATAAGCTTAACGTTGTACATTGTACAATTGTTACTCTTCTGTGGGTAAGAAAAGCGCATTTGATCGCACCGTTATTTCACGGGCGATTACAATCGACGGCCGACCGGGTACCGGCTTGCCGGATTACGCCCGGATTTATAACCGGAGGGTCATGCAAAGCCCGTTGTTTATAAATTTTAATTTTTAGGATTTCATACTCTTTTCGCAGCCTGTAGGAGCTTCTGCAATATATCAGGTAACATGTCGGTGGACTGATCGAGCGACTAATCCCGTAGTTCGTAGTTTCAATAAAAAATGTTGCATATATACTTAGTTATCTATTACTTTTCATGAGATGGTAATAAATGATGTCTAATAAATATTAATAAATATGATTGAATGTAAGTATTATACAGTTTTATTAAATAATTTTTAGCTTAAATAAGTAACTCCCTTAACATGATGCTTTAATTATAAGACCTTACATCTTGATTTAATTATATTATTTATTCTTAAATTAGGTTGTATTTAAGTACGTATGTACGCAGAAAACAACCAGACCGATGCAAGCAATCATAATCATTTTTTTATATAACTATGGTAGCAAATAAACAGCGGTGAAAAGCGGTGTCCTATACCGCTCTATCATGACACTTAAACTATATACATATTCGTACTTGAATACCAGTTGCATAAAATAAAGCACCGAAGTTATCATATTATCAATGTTGTCCTAAATATACTGCGTTACCATGGCACTAAAACGTCTATCTATATCTATAGATACGTAATTGTATTCCAGTTACATAAAATAAAGCACCGAAGTTATCATATCATCACTGTTGTCCTAAATATACTGCGCTACCGTGGTACTTAAACGTCTATCTATATCTATAGATACGTACTTGAATGGTGTCTGTATAGATAAAGATAACACCGACTATTTGACCCGTCAGTCATAAACAAAATAATGACTTGCTGGATTGTTGCTTCACAAGTTGGCAAGATACGAGAGCAGGGAGTGCAACATTGTAAATGTTCATTTAAATAAAATCCTTAAACATTATGCGCTAAAAGCTAAAATGGAAGTGACTATTACCAGAAAAGATGTAGTGTTAACCTACTAAAAAAAACAAAAAGTTTTCAGTTCAATTGCACATACTCGTTCATATATTTTATTAGATTTGTTACCACAACATTGTATCATTTATAAACAAAATTGTAAAATTCTTTTTTCTATTTGTATTCTAATTTTAATATGAGATAAATAAAAAAATTAACTGTATAATTTTTTTTATACCACAATAGTGGCAGACATGTATAAAGCCAAACTAAACGGTTACCGTAGTCTATGGACGCCTTAAAAACCAGTGGTGTCACCTGATCGTTGCGGACACTTACAGTTAGTCGTCTAAGTTTTAAATAAAAATAACTGGTTGAAATATGTAGTTTAGTGGTGTTCAGGATCAAATGTTATAACTAGAAGAAACATCCAATTTACTACAAAAATCACAGGATGTTTGATGATGATGATGAAACTGAAAGGCAAATAGGCACTGCGACTTTATAATGAAATAATCAATAATGACATAATAAATAATAAAGCACTGTGACCTAACCGTACTTAGCTTAGTTACAAAGTCTGTATTTTTGTGGTACAAAATATTATTTTTATAAATTTTGTAGTTCCTGTAAAAATACTGAAGTTATTTTTACGACAGTTGGAGAGGTTTTCAAGTAAAATTTACCGTTTTATGATGTCACGGTACGTATAGTTTTAGTAAAGCAACAATGTGTTAGACTAAAGGAACAGTACCAGCAATTTTGTAGTAAATTCTTATTTAATGATTTCAAATTGTATTTTGTACGAAATTGACTTTTAAGAGCAGTGCAGCAGCAGTGAGATTAAATATTAACGATTTTGCACTGATTTCAACGAGCAGGATTCAGTTTCTCTTTATTTATTATCTGGGATAATTAAAAGCACCATCTAGTCCCAAATAAAGCAGATATTGTGTTACGGGTATTAAACAGCTGATAGATATATTTAAGTGTATTGTTTTTGTAAATAAATGCATTATACTGTTTTAAATTTGACGTGGTCATAATTTATACGTATAATTGGTAAAAATCACGGGATCTTACCATGTTTTATTTTTATTGAGTTCCCGATATTTCGGCAGTGTTTCAACCACCACGATCACGGGTAAACTGAAGTTTGTTACTCTTTCACTCATAAACTACTAAACGGATTTTGATGAAACTTTACTGTAATATAGCTTGTACATTAGAATAACATATAGGCTATAAATTTCATGCGGGTGGAACCGCGGGTATAGCTAGTATATATATATAAATTTAAAGCTGCACATAAATTCACTGTATGGTCAGTATACGTAGCATATTGTAGCGACATTGTCAGCACTTGTGTTTTCACTTTGTGGCGTAGTGGCAACAAGGAATTGTAGAACGCTGGCGTAGAATGGCGAAGTGGTAATTATAAAATGGACGCCTTGAAGTGGAATATTCACGAACACTAACAATTACTTGACTTTTGAAATATTAACCAGTATTCCGGGCATGAAATATGGGAACGTGGAAATTTGGGATCCATATTTTACATTTCTCGTTATTTTTCCTTTCAGAGAAAACACGGAGAAGTCAATATAGTTAGTCTGAATAGTGGCCAGTTCTATAATTAGACAAAGAATGGATGGAATTTATCATACTACATGTATGATCGTACATATTTCGGATGGTCATGGTCAACTTACACCGGTTGGGAAAAGTTGTGGAGAAATTGTCAAATCAAATTTATACTTTCAATATGAATTTGTTTCAATCAAAAGTTTTTGTCTAATTTTACTAAAAAGAAATCAGCAAAAAAGATAATTATTTTAGTAAAATTAGACAAAAACTTTTGATTGCATAAATTCCAAAATCAATATTTGTTTGGGAACTCGTAAGAAATCGCGCGAAAATTAATTGATATACCTACTTATATATTATAATCTCACATCATATTATAAAATATGTTTTTGAGTTAATTCATTTTACGATTAACTTTATATATCAATATATGTAATGTATATATATATATATATATATTTTATAATAATAATGTATAAGTTACGAAACGACATTTATTTCTAGAATGATAGATATAGCAATATTACAAAAACCCGTCCATTCGTTTTATATAAGTGCCTTACAGATCCAACTTATGTTGAAAGCATTGTAATTGATATTAGACACTTTCAGAAATGACTTCTCATACAACGGCTGATTCAATAGAGTATTCTTATGGTCCCAGTTAATTTCCGGCCTTCATGATTGTTACATGACACTTCTATTAGCGACATAGCCTATTTATATAAAGTGAGGTACCGACTGCCGTATCTCCGAAATTTAGGAACTGAATAATCTGAAATTAATAAACGGATAAAAAATAAATATGTAAGAAAATTTTAGGCGAACTTTAAACTTTAAACTAAATATAGTTCATATTTAAAAATCAATAATTTTGTTTCAATACTATAATGGATTAATTTATCAAATGCTTAAGTTGCTAAAACCATAGAAATATTTATTTATTTATTTAACTTCGATGCACAAATAAGGCGGACTTAACACTTTTCGGTAACATTACAGGTTCAGAGGCATAATTTTTGAGGGCTTCCTCTACAGTTATAACTCTATACAATAAATTAAAAATAATTTTTGATCGTCATATAAAATCAGCATTTCTCACTTTAAAGTGAGAAAGCGCTGTAGTGATATGCTGCGGCACCAGCTGAGTGGAGGCCCTTTCAGTTAATAGCTGATGCTGAATAAATGATTATAATAATAATAATTTATTGTAACATTATGACATAATAGAATGTCAATATAAATTCTAAAAACTAAAATCATACCATTTAAAAATATATAATTAGTCTCTTTTTGAAAAAACCCACGCTATAGTCTCGTGAGAGAACTTTGGATGATAGTTTATTCCATAATGTATGTAGTATTGAGAATTTTAAAACTATCTGGCTACTTATAAATTATTATAAATTCGCGTTGCTATACAAAATCTTGATTGCCTATGATTCTGAATTATATTGTAAACTTAGTTCAAAATTCAACCTTATAATATAGCAGATTGAAATTATCTCTTAATCCAGGTCTCAAGTTAGTAACTTAGTTGTCAGAGTTTGTTTAGAGTTAACAATATTTGGTACTGTTGATCTTGGATTTCTTGGAGCAAAAACACTAGACCGTAACTGGTAAGTAAAAGCTACAGATATATAGAAATACATAATCCACTGATAATACCCAGAATATTAAAGTAGTGTAACATAAGTTCTCGAATGTTTGAGTACAAATTGTCAAATTAATTTGTTATAATAATAGTCCTAGACAATTTACACAGCGCCATCTAGTCCTAATCCTAAGCCAACTTGAGCTTGTGTTTTGTGCACTGGACACCTAATATGAATAATTAGATAATCCTTTCTTTAAATACATACTTAATATATATAGAAAACACGCAGACCGATACAAACAGACTCATGAATACAAATATTTGCACCGTGCGAGGAATCCAACCTGTGACCGTCGGAAGTAAAGCGATGCGCTAAATCGCTGCAGCACCGATGCCGTCACATTGATTTGAAATGAATTATTATTTTAAATATATAGATCTACAATGAAAAACTTTGTCCACGCAATCTTATTTGCTAACATAAGTTAAGTAATTGTAACTAACAAAATGGAGTACTGTTGGCGGATTAAATATATAATAAACTGGAAAGGAGATTATTAGTAATGTGTACTGATTGATGTGGACCCTATTGCT